ATCTTAAAAATTTTGCTGCTATCAATGGTGACTCGCCTGAGGTCTCCATTATTTCCTCTTCGTATAAATGAAAAAAGCATAAATTATATTTTATTATTTATTATTTCAGATTTACAAACAATTAATATAATATTACGTATTCTTTATCGAGCAAGAGCTGAACTTTTACCAAAAATTTTTACAAATTTAGGTTCAGATTATGAAGAACGTGTGTTACCATTAATTACTAATGAAATTTTAAAATCTGTTGTAGTAAGTCTCAGATATTTTGTTTTTGTTACTATGAATAATTAAATTGATTATTAGGCTCAATTTGATGCTATTCAATTGATTATACAACGTACACTTATTTCCCAACGTGTTAGTGAATTAATCACAGAATATGCTGCTCAATTTGGTTTATTACTTGATGATATTTCAATTGTAAGATGCAACAAAAAAAAGTCTCGAGTTGATTATATATATATATATTTTTTTTTTAAATTAGACGCATTTAAGTTTTGGACCTGAATTTACAAGCTCTGTTGAATTAAAACAAGTTGCACAACAAGATATTGGAAAACAACGACTTTTAGTCGAAAAAATAAATGAATAATAATAAAATTTGTATGATTTTTTTGATAAAAAAACAACAGGCTGAACAAAATCGTCAAGCAAATGTTATTGCAGAAGAAGGTGTTGCTCGTACAGCTAATTTGATTGGCAAAGCTTTAGATGAAGCTGGTGATGATAAATTTTCGAATGTCTTTCATTATCTTGTCTTACTTTTGTTTTAATATTCATGTTAGGTTTTTTTGTTCGATAAAAAAAAAGCAGAGCAGATCAAAAATTCTCTAGATGACATTAAAGTTTCGAATACGATTGAAATGATGAATTTCGATAATCTCTTTCGACATTTTATATTAACTCAATCATTTCTACGTGGTTGGGCAAATTCATTGCATTTACAAGAAATTTTTACCTATCGACGTGAAAAAATTGATGTAAGAGGCGAATGTTTAAAACTTGTACCAGCTGAAAATGAACAACAAAATACTGTTGAAATAATTAAGCAAAAAATAAAAAGCAATCAAAATTATACAAATGCTCGATTTCGTTCACCACTTGCCAATTATTTACTACATTTGGTAGGAAATTAAAATCATTTTAATCATTTAATTAATATTACCTTTTTTTCTTTTGTTATATTTATGTGAATAGGTTTCACCTCAAGTAGCTACAGCTCATTTTCAACTTGTTT